CGATCCTTCATCATTGGTGCTTTCATTGAGAGGTGCTGATCGTGTTTTTATTTATCTTATCTTTTTCTTTTTTTTCGGTTAGCCTTTTGCTGAGGGGCCGAATTTCTCTTATTTTTTGTAGGGATTCGAATTTTCCCTTTTATTTTTTGAATTTGAGTCTTAAAAAAAAAAGTGTCATCTTGTTAGTCCTTTGTTTGATTTTTTGTTCGGTTATTACCTTTTGTTGAGGGGCCGAATTTCTTTTTGGTTCGAATTTTTTGAGTCTTTGTTGGGGGTTCGATTTTTTCGAATTTCTCCCTATTATTTTCGAATTTTTTGCGTAAAAAAAAAAAGAAAGACGATGTTGTTCGAGCCATTAGTTGAGTGGGATCAAGAGGATTTCGAATATCTCGAAAATTTGGAGAGGGAATTAACCCCTTGGGAGCAAGATTATTTGGAGGAGATGTACGAGCAAAAGGAGGAGTGTGTAAGACAACTCAAGATCATGGAGAAAGAGCAAAAAGCCGAGGCCGATGAGAAGTTCCCAGAATCGCGCGAGCAAGAAGCCGAAGTGGTCGAGGTCGAGGAAGAGATCTTGCTCGTGGTCGAAGAGGGCCTTGGCGAGGAGACGTGCGTCGTGGGCGAAGAGGGCGAAGCGGCGCACATCGATGGCGAGGCCGAAGGAGTCGAAGGGGCCGAGGTCATTGGTGCGATCTTGGTCGTGGGTGATGGGTGCAAAACGTGCGCGCGGGAACAGCGCGCGCAACACATTGAGGTCGTGGCCGGAGGATCTGAAGTGCTCGCAGTCGGAGAGGAGATGTTGGTCGCGGTTGAAGCGGGCCATGATGAGGAGGCGTACGCACAGTATGGTGTGGATACGCGTATGGTCGAAGAAAGACTGCCCGATGTTTGGATAGTCGAGGATGAATCCTTGAGGACAAGGAAAGTCTCGAAGAGGAAAAGAATGATACGGAAGTGGGTTCCGTACCCCTGTGACAAGAAGGGTCGAGAGCCAAGAGGACTCGAGAAGACTGAAAATAGGGGCAAAACGACAGATGCATGGCCTAAAAGACGGGTACGAGCTCGTATGCGGGGCACTCGAGCACATGAGAAGTGGCACGTACAAGGCAGTAGACAAAGGCGCGCACACGCGCATTGGCGTAGACGCACATGGCGCTTGGATATTAGGCGAAGTGGCGCGCAGGGGGTGGATGTTGGGAGGATGATGCGCGCGAGGGACTGCAGCGGATGGACAGCGAGTGCGCATAGGCGCACGAGCAAGTATTATGACAGTGGCAAGACGTCGGGCGTGCGCGACAATCAAGCGGGTGGCGAGGACGCGCGCGAGGAGGCCAACAAGGGCGCGAAGGCGCGCGAGTGCAAGACGGATGCGCGAAGCCTAAGCCGTGCGAGCATAGGTCTGGCGGGCGTGCGCAGTATGCATAGAGGTGGCAGAGACGTGCGGACGATAGACAGCGACGCGTGGGGCAACACGGGCGATGGCCTAGACCGCGTAGGCATAGGAGTGCTGGACGAAGAGCGCGGGGCACACGACGACACGCGCGAGGCACAATGCAGGAACGAGACGACATGCCTAATCCTCGT